GCATGCAAGGCAAGCGCTCTACCACTGAGCCACCTTCCCAGCCCCAAGACTCTTATCTCCAATAAACCAATAGAAAACCAGAAGTGGCGCTGTGGCTCAAGCAGTAGGGAGCTTGCTTTGAGCTGAAGAACGCAGGGACAGCGCCCAGGCCCAGAGTTCAAGCCCCATGACTGACACAAAAAACAAAAAATACAAAGGGTGGATACTGCCCACTGTATGTGTGTATCATCTTTTATCTATTCATCCATCAGTTTGCACCTCTTTGGGCTGCTGTGACTATTGTTAATCTGAACATGGACATGGATGTGTTTGACATCCAACTTCTGTCAGTTCTGGGGCTGAACTCTGGGCCTGGGCGCTGTCCCTCAGCTCTTCAGCTCAAGGCTAGTGCTCTACCGCTTGAGCCACAGTGCCACTTTCAGTTTTTTGAGTGGTTTTTTTTTTTTTAGTTAGAGATCAGAGTCTCATGGACTTTCCTGCCCGGGCTGGCTTTGAACCGTGATCCTCAGATCTCAGCCTCCTAAGTAGCTAGGATGACAGGCGTGAGCCACTGACGCCTGACTGTCCTTAAGTTTTTGTGTTCAGGGCTAATGCTGTACCTCTTTGAGCCACGGTGCTAGTACTGGTTTTCTGGTGGTTCATTGGAGATAAGAATCTCACAGATTTTTCTGGCCAGGCTGGCTTCAAACTGCGATCCTTAGATTTTACTCTCCTGAGTAGCTAGAATTACAGGCATGAGCCACTGGCACCATGGAGATATTTCTTTTTTAGAGTATATTTTCAGCCATTACTTTACCTCTTAGTACTACCAACACCACATTCCCTAACTATTGGTATGTGTTGTACCTTGGTGCTAGAAAACTTGCTTTCTTGGATTAGGAAAGCCAAGTATTTACTGAAATATGGAAAGTTTTTCAGTCGTTTTTTTTTCAAATAATCTCTTTATCCTTTTCTCTCTTCTCTTTCTGTAATTCTCTAAATGTGTATATTAATCTACTTGATGAACTCCCCCAAGTCCTTAGTCTCTGTTCAGTGTCTATACTTCGTTCATTCTCACCAGTCTGCTGTCAAATCTCTGTGTTGAAATATTCAATTAATCTGTTGCTATTATGATTATGATTATTATTGTCAGTCATGGGGCTTGAACTCCAGACTTGGTTGCTGTCCCTGAGCTCTTCAGCTTAAGGCTAGCTAGCACTCTATCACTTGAGCCACAGTGTCACTTCCAGTTTTCTGGTGGCTAATTAAAAATAAGAGTCTCATGGACTTTCCTGCTCAGGCTGGCTTTGAACTGTGGTATTCAGATCTCAGCCTCCTACGTAGCTAAGATTATAGGCGTGAGTCCCTGGTGCCCAACTATTGCTATTATTTTTGTTGTAACACTTGAACTCAGGGCTTCATTCTTGGTAGGCTGGTACTCATTTTGAACCATACTGTCAGCCTTGACTTTTTGCTATTTAGTTACTTATTTAGATCCCAGGGCTTGAATTCAAGGCCTGAGTGTTGGCCCTTAGCGTTTATTTTTGTTTTTGTTTTGTAGGTAGTGGGGCTTGAACTCTGGGCCTGGGCTCTGTCCTTGCGCTCTTCAGCTCAAGGTGAGCGCTCTACAGCTTGAGCCATAGCACCACTTCCGGTTTTCTTGTGGTTTATTGGAGATCAGAGTCTCAAAGCCATCCCTGGCCGGGCTGGCTTTGAGCCAAGGATCCTCATATCTTGGCCTCCTGAGTAGCTAGGATTACAGGTGTGAGCCACCAGCGCTCAGCGGCCCTTAGATTTTTTTTGCTCAAGGCTAGCACTCTACTACTTTGAACCATACTCTACTTCTGGTTTTCTGGTAGTTAATTGGAGATATGAATTTCACAGACTTTCCTTCCTGGGCTGGCTTTGAACTGCTACCCTCAGATCTCAGCCTCCTGAGTAGCCAGGATTATAGGTGTGAACTACTGGTGCCTGGCCTTCCGATCACTTTTGAAGCACAAGGTAACAGTGGGAGCTTACTTGTCCTGTATATAAGGCAGGGAAAAGTCATAGGACCAGTGCTAGACACCCGCAGGACCTCCGTGGACACCTGTGTGAAGCTTGCCAAGTCTGGGAAGGTCAAGCCAGGTAGAGGAGGTGTTCTTCAAAGGTATTGGGGACAAGAAGTATCCAATACCGAGAAATAGTCAACTGAGATACATCTGTAACGACCCCTCTTGTGTGGTGTTTGCAGTAGGATGGGGACCTTGGTGACAGACTCTAAGACCCCTCTGCAGAGCACAGAGGCCCAGTGGTGCAGTCTTAAGATCCAGCCATCTGCTTCCCTGCACTTGGAAATAGTAATGAACTTTGCCCCTCCCTTGACCCAGCAGTCCTTCTCTGAGCCCTGTGTCTACCCTCAGTCCCTCCTCACCTGTCTCCTCTCTTCCACCCAGTTTCCAATGAGCACTTTGGATGAATAGCTCCTCTGGCTCTGAATGAAGAATGGTGGAGGGTTCACCGGGCTCAGAAACATGATGTGACTAGCTCAGGGGAGGGAGGGATGACGCCGAGTTGCTAAGTTTGGGTTCTCTTAAAAAAAAAAAAAAGTCTGGAGCTGCTCTTCTTCAGATTGCGAAGAGAATGACACTATTAGCTTCAGGAAGTTTCAAAAGAAAATACAAAAAGACAGCAACACAGTCCTGAGAGCGCACGTTCCCCCTCCAGGGGCAGTGACATAATCTTGGCTTCCCTTCTGTTGACCGTCTCCATGGTGACAGGCACTAGGTATGCAGACTCTCTGCTGGGGAACAACTGATTCGACAGAAGAAAAGTAAATGAGCCTCCCCACCCCAATAAATCAGCCAACAAAGGCAGGAATGAACAGATCCAGTTTCTGTGTTGTCACTCACCCCAAGATGAGTGCAGCCCTTGATATACATAAACCATTAAGGTAAGGTGAGTTGAATTTTTGAGTGTGAGTGTGTGCTGGTCCTGAGACTTGAACTCAGGGCCTGGGTGCTGTCCCTGAGCTTTTGTGCTCAAGGCTAGTGTTCTACTGCATGAGCCACAGCTCCACTTCCAACTTTTCGTGGTTAACTTGAGATGAGACTCGCATGGACTTGCCTGCTGGGCTGGCTTCAAACCGCAATCCTGAGTTGAGGGTCAAGTTGCTTTTGGGTTAGAGGTGTGAGCCACTGGTTCCCAGCATGGTAGACTTTTTCATAAGCCACAGTGTCACTTCTGGCTTTTTCTGTTTATGTGGTACTGAGGAATCAAACCCAGGGCTTCATGCATGTTAGGCAAGCACTCTACCACCAAGCCACATTCCCAGTCCCTTAAACTTTTATCCAAACATTACTTGCTTGATTTCCAGGAAAGTAGTTTCCAAGTAGGCATTAATTTTTGTCCTTCTATCTTCCTGTATCTTTCCTTCTGCAATCCATTCTATAAACAATTATACTGCCCTGCTACCACTTCCCTCTTTCTTTCTCTCTTCTCCTTTCTTTCCTTTTTGCTGGCCCTGGGGCTCGAACTCAGAGCCTGGGTTCTGCTGTCGTTTAGATTTTTCACTTACGGCTGATGTTCTACCACTTGAGCCTCAGCTTGGTTTCCAGCTTTTTGCTGGTTAATTGGAGATGAGTCTCAGGGACTTCCTGCTTGTGCTGACTTTGACCTGTGATCTTCAGAGCTCAACCTCCTGAGTAGTTAGAATCACAGGCATGACTCAACCATGTCTGGCTTCTTTTACCTTCTTTTCATTTTTCTCTTTATTTGTTCCTTCTCTCTCTCTTGATTTTTCCTTTCCTCTCCCCTTCTCTCTCCCACCTTTACCCTCCCACATAGGTTTTGAATCCAGGGCTTCACACTTGTAGGTGAAATTTTGCTTATGGCATAGAATGGTACTATCTTCTCTAGAAGATTTATTATTACTACTACTATTATTATTTGTCCATCATGGGGCCTGAACTCTAGGCCTGGGTACTGTCCCTCAGCTCTTCATCTCAAGGCTAGCACTCTAGGGGCTGGGAAGGTGGCTCAGTGGTAGAGCGCCAGCCTTGCATGCCTGAGGCCCTGGGTTCGATTCCTCAACACCACATAAGCAAAAAGAAAAAACCTGGAAGTGATGCTGTGGCTCAAGTGGTAGAGCGCTAGCCTTGAGCTGAAGAGCTGAGGGACAGCGCCCAGGCCCAGAGTTCAGGCCCCACGACTGGACTCCCCCC